AATAATTTAATTATTTATTTTTTAATGTCGATTATTTAATATAAACAGCCAGAAAATAGTTTTTAAATATGCAATTAATGAGACGAGCCATCTCGTTGAGTAAGTTTCTGATTTAAAGTATTTTTTAAGCATTTTATGTATTTAAGTATTTTGTATATACATATGTATGTATTGTCTGTGTCTATGTATGTATATTTTATAAATCACTCATCTCAAGTTTAGCCATATAATATAGCAACGGCGATTTATATATTTTAAAATATATATTACATTTAGTAGGAAGGCTGTGAAAAAGCAGAGATAGAGAGAGAGAGGGAGAGAGGGAGAGAGGGAGAGAAACTTTTTGCTTGGCGGCATATGTCGTCGACTTATCCGTTGATAGTTATCTAGAATATCTATATTTATACATTGGCTCTAATTATAATAGCTTTGGCCAGGCCATGAGCAGAAACACTGCATAACAAACTTGCATTAGGTATCACATTCAGCCAGCATTTCTCTTTATAAACCAATCTCAGGCTCTGGCTCTGGCTCTGGGCGCGCACAGTGGGACAACTGTTGCCGCCTGCTGTTTTGGGTGTGCGTGCCAGATAATCGTAAGAGATATCTCGCAGATGAGCGGCTGCAATCATATTCTCTCACCGGGTTGACAGAAGCGCCTACCTGTTGTCATCAATTAGGTAACAAGCACACGCAGCCGATAAATATCCTCTGTCCGTGTGCTGGATGCATGCATATCTACAAATGGTTCAAGCTGCTCGCTCTGATCCAAGATCTCTTATCTGATTTGCAAATAAAAATGTATTTCATGTGGCCACATTGAAGGCACGCTTAGAGAGAGAGAGAGAGAGAGAGAGAGAGAGAGAGAGAGAGAGATCGGGAGAGGGGGAGAGGGAGACAGAGTCCGCTACACTGCACTCATAATTTATAGTTCATGCAAAGATTTTGTTGGGGGGGAATTACCTGGGCGACTGCCTGGCAAATTAAGCACTAAAATAAACGACCAATTTACTGATTATGCAAAACATGCAATTAATTTATTCCACTCCACATTTATTCCAAAACTTCCATGCCGTGGCATTAACTGCAACTTGTTGTTGTCTCGCGGAATTGTCGCAACGAGTGGGGAAAATTAATTGCTGCAACAACAGGTGGAAAATTTATTTGGAATCGCGCTGACACACAGGCATGTAGAAAATGCATCTACTGCTGCTGCTGCTAGCCAAGCCAAGGCCAAGCAGAGGGCTAATTTATTATCTATAATTGTGGCTGGAAGCATTTGCATATTACGATTGCTAATTGGCTTAGATATAAACTATTTGCTGTGCTAATTGATTGACTCAAATAATTCTCATTTCATTTTATTGCCAAAAACTTAAGGCTTAGCATGGAAGCTTAGCTAAGGAGAAGCTTTAGCTAGGGAGAAGGTCGAGGTATTTAAATTACATTTGCATATGCCTGACGCCTTTTGTTTTATGGGTTATACAAATCCTAAGGTAACGACCATTTCGGGGCAATTCACAATTAAAGGCTCAGGCCTCAAAGGGGCTACTGTCTTGTGAAGGTTCAGCCAGTTGTGAGCTCTGCCACGGCGGGTCATAAAACGAGCGGCGTTGCTTTAAGAAGCCGCATATAAATCACATTGAAGCCAGCGGTCGGGCCATAAAAATTGCAGTTGCTGAATATATATATATATCTATATATATAAAAGAAAGTTGTGTAAAAGTGATGACTGCTTATAACTTGATTTGGGCTGAACCAATTTTCATGGTTTTTG